GTCCTGTCACTCGAGTTGAACTCGAGTTGAACCTTGGTGTGAAAGGTGTCGCCTGCTGGCGTGGTGACCAGGTGATTTGGGCACCCAGGAGCACGTGACCGCTTCTTCAACCATGTTCGATTGGGAATAAAGGAGGAACGCTGCATCGCAGCCTTTTCGGACCAAAACCAGTCGACTCAGCGTCCGAAAGACTACAACATATGGGCCAATCGCGGTCATCCATGCTTTTATAAGAACGAAATGGGGCTTTTAGTGACATTTTGCATACAAATCCCCATCTAGTAGGGCGCAGTCACCCAGTTTCGGTGGAAGTGCGCGAGTTCGATTGGCATTCAAGTAGGAAGGGAGCGTCTCAGCTTCCTCGGACCAAGACCATTCGACTCAGCACCCCGAAGACTACAACTGGTGAAATTTTAATTTTTGCCTTAACTTCCCCTTTAAGTTCAGAAAATTGGCATTTTGACAATACTAAACAATATGCTGGTGATTTCCACAAACATGACAGGCAGGTTTAGGCTACTTTACCATGTTATGAAAAAGAGTTTGCGACTTTGGCGATCATTTCATCAGAACATGTTTTGCTCCCAACACTGAAGCTAGCGCTTTCCCGCCGACTTCGAAAGTTCAATGGACTTCTTGTGTGATCTCAGTGGATGGCGGTTGTGAGTCAGTCAAGTGTCAAGTCAAGTCACCGGGAGAAAGTGCCATTATGATTAGGTATGGATGATTTCAATAAAATTCCTCATTCTCTCTCACAATGGAAACCAAGGCTAGAACATAACGTATACTAAACAAATTGGATCACAGCAAATATCATTTAGAACATTTCTGCTGGTATAAGACAACTGTATTTTCATATAACCTTCAGCTGGTATGCACACTAATACAAAGACCAGCATCATCCATTGACTAGGATTCACCATCATGGACATTCTTTAACCTGCATCGCAGTCTTCAAATTGTCACTTACTATCGCTCTGTAAATCAATAGCCAAATTCAACAGTTGGACAAGACTTCTCCCATCACATCCTGCCTCATGGTCGATCTTGATCAGGAAATCTTTATCCAGTCGTTGAGTGAGCTCAGGGCGGTGCAAGAAATAAAAGAGGAGCACAAAGCTGGCCACTGGGTACAGTAAAGACCCCCCAATTGCTGCTTGACAGCAAAGTGGAAGATCACGCACATGACCGGCCACCTCACATGCCGTTCGATAAGTGCTGATATACTCTTCATCCAGGGTGACTGTTCTAAATACTTCAGTGAGCACTATATCTGGTACGGTCGCTAGTTTGGCAATGATCTGTGGTAGGTTGCTCTTGACAACCCTTGTGATGAAATCTACAGACAGCGAATAATACACAAGAAAAACAGGACACGTTATTGTAACCACTATGTCTGGTCCAATAGTGTGTGTGTGTGTTTTTTCGTGCGTATGTGTGTGTGTGTTTGTGTACCGTAAAACCCGCTACAAATTCCCACCGCATTGTGCAAGATCTGCTGGCCTGTACGCACTGACCCCATGCACTGTCACTCCCACTGTACAAAAGTGCATCTCACACTGTGGCGCGAAGAGCGCTTTGCTACGGTAAACAATGTCCACTTTCCTGGTTTCAAAGTCTTTTTGGGCACTAGCTACGAGCTGGCTCGTAGTGATTTTGTGATGTTGTTTGTTGTATTTCGCAAATCCAAATGGGTTTTTCTTCCGAATAACAAGATAGCAAAATGCAGAGTATTGCAGGAACCAAATATACTTCTGACGGTGCTTCAAGCCATCATTTCCAAATCACGCAACACGCAAAGGCAAGGGTTTTTCTCGAGCACTTCAGAGTTGTCAACAAGTTGGTAGCGACTTTGTAGGTGTAGCTTTTGTGACATCTCCCCTGTTCGACTTGCGACTGCAATACTGCGACTGGTCAAGTCGTCGAATGACGCTTCGTCAGAACAATCACGGTTCCGTTCTGAAAGTGCAACATCGTCACATTCATGGCACTGCAGAAATTTCATGATTTGAAAACCAAAATACTGGAGAACAAACTTTTAGGAAACTTCACTACTCAACTCCAAACTCAAAAAACGGTCTCTTCACTGCGATTCAAATTCAAATTTACATTTACATTACTGTACACCAAATTTTCGGGGCTGGCCCATCATCAGGAGAACGAACTAAAATAACAAAGATGACTCTTTTATCGGATGCAAAGGAAATCCCGACCGAAGTTTTTCTTTGCAGCAAGATAATGACGCAAAATCGCTTTTGCACAGGATCCTGGTAAGACATAGGCAGTGTGTAGGCATTACAGTCGTTCTTGTACGCATTCGACCTTCATGCCAGTTTCCTACAACTAAATTGACCTGAAAAAGACGAAAATACTATGGACCCGCTGTGGTGAGCGTTTGCTGCGAAGTGGGCACTTGCAGCGGACTTTACGTATACACGTATCTGTGTGCGTGCGTATGTGTGTGTGTGTGTGTGTGTGTGTGTGTGTGTGTGTGTGTGTGTGTGTGTGTGTGTGTGTGTGTGTTTGCATGTGTCCCTGTGTGTCCCATATGGTGCAGTGGTATGTGCAGTCGATCTCCAATCAAGTGGTTGCGGGTTCAATTCCAGACGACTATGGTCGCACATATTTTTCTTCTCTTTCTCATCTCCTAGCTCTTCTTTCATAATCCTGGGTGGCTACCAACAGCCAGTGTATGCCGGAGTATGTGGTGTGGCGTGTGTGTCCAAAAAAATGAAAAAATGGAAAAATGAAAAATAGGGATTCACTGGCCAGAATAAGCCACTTCAATCTGCTGTGTGGTGGATACCAGGCTAAAATTAGTGGCGGTCAATTCATCAGCCTTGCAACCTGTTGAATGGTGTAATTCCAGCACAAGTTGCTATGTCTAATATAGCTGTTCGCTATCATCGCTTCCGCGATGGGCAGGTCTGAGGTCTGAGGTGTGTGTGTGTGTGTGTGTGGTACATGATGGTGGTGGTGGTGGTGGTGGTGGTGGTGGTGGTGGTGGTGGTGGTGGTGGTGGTGGTGGTGGTGGTGTGTGTGTGTGTGTGTGTGTGTGTGTCTGGTGTGGGTGTGGGTGTGTGTATGTGTATGTGTGTGTGTGTGTGTGTGTGTGTGTGTGTGTGTGTGTGTGTGTGTGTGTGTGTGTGTGTGTGTGTGTGTGTGCACGTGGTATGAAAAATCCTGGGTGGTCAGTCCCAACAGCCAGTATATGGTGGAATATGTGGTGTGATGTGTGCTGGAAAAAACGAAAACGAAAAAGTCACTGAGGGATTCACTGGCCAGAAATGGCCTCTTCAAATAGCTGTGTGGTGTAGACAAGGCTCAGTGAGTCGGAGAGCAATGATGGGAGTGATGGTGAGAGTGCCGGTGAGAGTGTTAGTGTTGTGCGTAGGTTTCGTGGTAGCAAGTCTACACGTCTCGTTATTAAACTTACATAGCACGATTACACTATAGTGAGTGCAATCATGTTCATTTCAGTACTTTTGTACATACATGTATTGACTAAAACCCGTGACACGATGGTACAATGCATGAGTTGTGATTATCCTACATCGGCTCAACTACGTTTTTCATTCCCATTGATGGTATGCCGGTTCTACAGTCCATTCATAAAAAAGATGGTCCCTGGCTCTGGCGAGCTCCCGTATTTGGCGATTTTCGTGATATTATCGTATACAATCAGTGCTTCGAAATTTGAAATATAAAACCGGGTCCAAAAAGGGTACCTGAATTGGGGTTCGAACCGCACAATGCACTGTTGCAAGCGGGTTCAAACGGCCTGGATTTTGATGGTTTTTCTCAAATTAGTGCTTTTGGGGCAAAACCTGGCCGAAATCCTATTCTTGTTATGGCTTGCATTTTGGACAAATTGACTTCAGAAACAAAATTAGAAGAGGACTCCACAGGGATTGCAGAAATATAATCTATAACGTTTGACCCATTTATGGCCAAAGGCTAGAAGTCCATCTTTTTATGAATATACTGTAGTTCTACTCTACAGAATAGAATGCATGATCTTGTATAATGTTGTAACATGCACAAGCATAACATCACACATAACATGTATGTAAAGATTTCTTCAATGTACAGTATTGCACGTGCTATCTTCATTTACAAGGTGTATACGAGTATGCAACAGGTATACTTATGCTATGATACTTATGCAGCATACAGGTCACAATACAAACGCACTATTGTGCTCACTATTTCACAGGTCACAATACAAACGCACTATTGTGCTCACTATTTCATATTTCCCGCGTCTTTGTCTGTAAAGATTTTTCAGATTATTCCATCAACTTTAGAACAGCGGATGCTCCAGTGGTTGCCGTCTTCCAATATTTCACTGAGAGTGCTTAGGGAAAGTATTGGGTTGCCAGAGCAGCTAACAAGTGTAGTGGTGCAATTCCACGTGTATGAAGTACAGTAAAATCTGTAATGGCGACCACTCGGATATGGCGATCACTCGACCATGGTGACCACTTTCCTTGTCACGGACGCATTCACATTAAAAGCAGTTCGGATAAGGCGACCACTCGCTCAACGCGACCGACGACCACCCACCCGCGACCGCGTTGCACAGTGCTAGTACATGTAAATGTATGCATTGCATGGTGTACCATGCATGGTAGATCTACACGTCAGTGCAGGAAGTGTAGATGTGCATGGTGCATGCACGACGCTTGACAGGTCTGAGGACCCCAGGCACGTGAGTCGTGCTAGAGTAGCATACCTGTACGTGTGCGCACTGTGATGCACTTATCACAATGATGTAGCACATGTGGATAGGGTCACGTGACCCACTGAACCTGGATAAGAAGACCACCTGGAAACGGCGACCACTTTTTCTCGTCCCTTGAGTGGGTCGCCTTAGACAGGTTTCACTGTATGAAAGTTTACAATACAAAATACCATGAAATCATTGCACTACTCCCCTGCTTAAATAAACTGGGTGCAAGTGTTAGAACTGACTTGCAATATGGCAATCTTTTACTTACATGGATCCTTGACATCTTCATCAGGATGATCATTCTTACGAGCTTTCCAAATTCTCTCCAGCACTCCACCAACAACACCATTGGACGGGAAAGATGAAGACTGGATGTCTTGAATGAAGTTCTGGACACCTGATGGTCCTCTCTTGTAGGTAATCAAGAAGCCAACGTAGCTGACTAACCTGTCCTCTTCTGAACACCTTTCGATGGAGAAGTACTGCTTATACATCAACACATGTCTCTTCATCATGGGATCTCTGCTGATACGTGGATGATGTTCATCCAGTGCCATGACGGCCTTTCTGAATGCTTCATCAGTAATCTGGCATTGAGCTATGTCATGCCATGCTGGCAGGACAACATCATCCCAGAAGTCAAACAGCATCGTTCTAAACACAAAGTTATACAAAACAAAAAAACCCAAGAACATGAATATGCCTCTTCTGACCGTCGATGAATTTGGTGAAAGAGAATTCAAGTATGAATGACAATCAACCAGAAGACCGGCCGCTGTATAGTGTAACACAACACAGGTACCATGTATACACATATCATATTAATATGTTAACACCCCCCCCCCCCCCACACACACACATACACACACACGGCATAGACACATATAGATAGAGACATAGAGATGATTGACCCATATGCATGGAGCAAATACTGCCATGCATGCACCCCATACCACCACTCCTTACACCGTCACTGCTGGTTCTCCATAGCCACATACCGGTATGTAAAACTCACACAGTTCATTTTTGGCTAAATGAACACACTTCACCTACAACACAGTCCTCTGTTCTACACCACTACTGTTCATATGTACACACAATCATTTCACTACATCATGGGTAAAAGATATCCATGGTTCAAGTGATACTCAGTTTGACTGAGTTTTGCGAATCTGCAGGAACTCCACCACCCTCTATGGATCAAGGGTGCAGATGCAGATTTTAAAGTGATGGGAGGTGAGTTGATCACTGATCAGACCCACAACCAAAGAGGTCAAAATCAGAAAATCCCATTCATTGCATTCATGGTGAACTCCATTGTATGTCACAGTAAACGCTGTGTGAATGACAAGAGGCAGGGGTGTTGGAATGCATGTTAGAATGGTACTGTCAACCATCTGAAGTACAATTTACTCGTGGGGTTGGGGTGGTTCCTATGAAAATTTCGAAATTTAGACCTCAGATCAGTGTGTTTTATTGATTCACAGGGTATCCGGGACGAAGAGTGGTACGGTCAACACCATAGTGACCGTAGCGTGTCCGACGCCCTGCAAGAGGTTCATGTATAAGGTTTCGTGAAATATTAAAATAGAGACGGATATACAAGTACTTGAGTACAGGGGAAGTATGCATCAGTTTGAGGATAGTGTTGAGGGTCAGGAATGTTCTGGGCATGTGCAGTTGAACACTCTTCTCAACAACAAAATTCACGGTTCGCGTCAGACTCGGCTAGAGGCCGAGTTTTCCACATCCGTAGGAACGCCACCACCCTTCAAGTACCAAGGCTCTTCTCAAGCATGACGTCAATAGAACTGCGATGGCCCTTGTGAAGTTGTAATGCGCATTATCTTTTGCGAGGATGGACTCGGATGGAGAGGAAAAGATTAATTTATAAAAAATAAAAAGGACCAAGGAACTAAAAGTAATGCTATGTCCACAAACACCACCAGTAACTAAACAATCAGCTCATGCCATAACATTGCACGACCCTGACCGACGGTACTGATGTTCTACACCTAACTCTCTGAGTGTTTAGTAACTGGTGGTGATAGTGGACATTATAGCGTAACTTGTAGTTCCTTGGTCCTTTTTATTTTCTATAATTATTATCTTTTACCTTTGTCATTTCCCTGTATCTCTGCACTACTGTTGTAGTACGTTCCATAGAGTGAATTTGACTTGCAATACAACTACATGTAGGTATCGTTAACACGGGTTTTCTTCACGTCTTGAAAATCTAAATCTATTCTCCACATAGAATAACTCCAACCCATCTTGCCAGCCTGGCAATAACTGACTGTACTGCTTGAGGGTTTCAAGGTCTACCCCTCTTAGTCATGTGACATGTTTACAGAGTGTATACATGCACTGTACCTTACCGTAAATACTGGATAGCTGCAGATACAGTGCAGCTTCGGTTTTCCAGCACAAGTCACACTAGTGGCTTATCATCAACACATCACTCTGACTCGAGAGAAAACAACGCAACGATGCTATGTTGTTGTTTAGACCTCGTTGTCACCGACGGACACACGAACCGACAATGATTTTTTTCGATGATACTGAACAGGTCTACTTTCTCTGGTTCTGGGACAAGGGTATGCTGCCCAGGAGACTACAGTGTACAAAACTGCTATCAAACACAATGGTCCTGTACCTCTTCTTCGCAGATGAACGGACCGGTAATAACTGCGTCTTCACCAAACACACACACACACATACCGAAGCAGGTGCAGTGCAGATGCTACGGGAACAGCTAAAATAATGATGGTTTCCGTAGGCGTTCCGTAGTGGCCGGCTGGGTCGTTGGTGGCTACCGCGTCCCGGTACGGAGTCGGTGGGTCGATCCGAAGGCCGTTACGGACAGAGCCGGTTTGGCGCCTTCATTCTGACCTTGGGCCTTAGGGGGGGGGGGGCATGCATTCATTGCATTGGCCGCGTGAGATTCGCAGAGTCTCTCTGCATTCTCAAGCAGACTAGAATGTAGTAACCATGGTAACTAGGCGGGTAAGGACAATCGTTGTTATGGTGAATCATGTATTGTCACAATATTTAATGCTCTACCTAATGTAGTAATGACTTGAAATCCTCTTTGTTTACCTCTCAGTTCGATCGTGGTTTTAAAGGGGAAGTATACCCTAAAATCAAATTTTCACCAGTTGTAGTCTTCGGGGTGCTGAGTCGAATGGTCTTGATCCGAGGAAGCTGAGACGCTCCCTTCCTACTTGAATCCCAATCGAACTCGCGCACTTCCACCGAAACTGGGTGACTGCGCCCTACTAGATGGGGATTTGTATGCAAAATGTCACTAAAAGCGCCATTTCGTTCTTATAAAAGCACGGACGACCGCGATTGGCCCATATGTTGTAGTCTTTTGGACGCTGAGTCGACTGGTTTTGGTCCGAAAAGGCTGCGATGCAGCGTTCCTCCTTTATTCCCAATCGAACATGGTTGAACAAGCGGTCACGTGCTCCTGCGTACACCAGTCACCTGGTCACCGTGCCTGCAGGGTACAACTTACTAGCCTGTTTGACCTTTTTTGGGTGCAGTCCTGTCACTCGAGTTGAACCTTGGTGTGAAAGTTGTCGCCTGCTGGCGCGGTGTCCAGGTGATTTGGGCACCCAGGACCACGTGACCGCTTGTTCAACCATGTTCGATTGGGAATAAAGGAGGAACGCTGCATCGCAGCCTTTTCGGACCAAAACCAGTCGACTCAGCGTCCAAAAGACTACAACATATGGGCCAATCGCGGTCATCCGTGCTTTTATAAGAACGAAATGGCGCTTTTAGTGACATTTTGCATACAAATCCCCATCTAGTAGGGCGCAGTCACCCAGTTTCGGTGGAAGTGCGCGAGTTCGATTGGGATTCAAGTAGGAAGGGAGCGTCGCAGCTTCCTCGGACCAAGACCATTCGACTCAGCACCCCGAAGACTACAACTGGTGAAAATTTGATTTTAGGGTATACTTCCCCTTTAAGCGCTTATTGGATGATCCAGTTTGGTTTGAACGATATCGTGCAATTTTGTTTGACAACGTTGGCAACGTTTAGTCTCTCACCAGCTACATGTATATATTGCCCAGGTTCATTCAGCATACGTTTTTCTTCTTTTCTCTTTATGTTCACCACTCATCCCCCTTTTTTCTAAACATTTTAACATTTACACTGATGTATATACATTGTTTATTTAAATTTATTTTTTTATTTATTTTTGGTCCCATCGGCCTCTTCATATTTGTGCAGCTGCACTGTTGAGCTTCCGATGTAAAACAAATAATAATAATAATAATAATAATAATAATAATAATAATAATAATACCGTAAAATTCCGTTAATAAGCCCTGGGCGTATACTTAGCAGAGGGTCAAAAACCGGGCGTATATTTGGGCATGGGCATATTTTAGGGCATGGACGTTATTTCGGACGCAATCTGCAGAAGATCAATCTATCAGCAACCCACTACTACGCACTAGTTTCAGTGAACTACCATTCACACTGAGCGCGGTACAGGTACATCAAACCACAGCTGGAAATTTGGTCGTTACCAGGAATGTAGCGATAAACTTACAGATTTGATATGTAAACCACTTGCTATATAAGTACAAGGCACAACAGGTACCGGCATATACGCGAACGCACGCTCACGCGCTGGTCATTTTGAGTCCACTTTACGCTGCATCTGCCGCTAGGGTTTATCGGGTGTTAGCGGCCGTCGTGAGTTCCCTTCGGGAACGGATACGATAATTTACTTTTACTTTTTTTTACTTACGCCCTGGGCTATTTCGGGCATGGGCGCTAAAACGGACTTGAAGTGTACGCCGCCTAAAACTGGGCTTATTATCGGACATGGGCGTTATTTAGGGTGGGCTTATTTACGGAATTTTACGGTACGTGAAAATGACACAAAAAGGAACCAACGCTTGCTTGGGATACAGCATGTAGCATCGGCTAGTACGGCTACACCCAAATGATTTTCTAATTTTCCCTAAACTCCAAGGCAACCACTGAAACATACAGTATGATTCTCTTCTCCAACCCCAACAACGGTCTATTCACTGCGAAAAAACATTCCACCAAATGTTCGGGACTGGCCCTTCATTAGGCTGAAAACACAAACAAAAACCTGGAACCCACATTCTTTTCTCACTCACACGTCAGTACTGCACACATATTCACACACACACACACACACACACACACACACACACACACACACACACACACACACACACACTCACACACAAACACACACACACACACACACAAACACACACACACACACACCTACACACACACTCTCTCTCTCTCTCACATACACACACACACACACACACACATTCACACTCATCACAGAATAACAACTGCGGGGGGACAGCCACAGCAAGAAAACAAAAGTCATAAGTCATACATACTTGGAGACAGGCGGTATGCTGTACATTCTCTTAAAACTTAGAAAACCAAAAGAGGTGAGTACTGTCGGCCGCCCAAGAACGGCCAGGCTAGAATGTCATCACGCACAGCATACCAATGTATACACGGTGACTCAAATGTGCATTGAGTACACTCTACACGTACATGAAAATAAGAGCAGTTTTCATGTAGGTTACTAGGCAGACCCAGCCACCAACAGTACATGTACAAGTACAAGCTCTGCTAGTGAGGAAGGTGAATCAAGGATATCCGATAGTATTAAAATCATGAAACATACAGTACGCTTGTAAATTTGAACGTTACGCAGAGAAATCGCACAAAAGGTTTTAAAATCAATAAACTCGTAGAATCATAATATATTAAGGCACCAACAGTTAGGCTCTTTAGCGCAGTTGAGCAGCTCCAAACGTATCCCAAAAGGGATCACGTTTCCGTGCAACAAAGCAAAGCATACACATTATAGATAGCAAATACAAACTAGCAGTGCAGTAGAGTGTGGACTTCATTACACTCTAACTTGCATTTTCAACCATTTCACTGAGCAACATAATTCTAGCGATAATACAGCATGAAGGAAAGTGTAATTCAATCATATCTACACCAGTTAGAATGCCAGCCAAAATCTCAAGATAGAGTAAAAGAAACACAACTGGAAAACGTCTTGGAATACCTGAACAAACCTGATCAGAAACAATACGAGCGTTCAGTAGCGGCTGCACACACCATTCACTGATACAGCTCATTGTGGGGACATAGCAGCTCATGGCGGGTCCACCAGCAGAGTAACCTTCACAGACCCTGTAGGGACAAAAGCACACACACACAAAGAGACATTGCACTGAGTCCTGGAACAATACACGTACTAAGCCTCATGTTGACGGCTTCAAACACCATTGTACATCACGAACTTTGTTCTAACGTTCTCTGAGACTCTCTGTACATACAGTGCATACTGGACTACCACATTACCCAACCATGCTGCATCTCTGCCAAACTGGACATAGAGCAGAGCATAGGATGTCTGTGTGTGTGTGGGGGGGGGGGGGGGGAGGAAGAGACTATGAGAACATAATGGATGACAAGAGCCTATTCAACATGTCCACAAATCATACATGTACTTAGCTGCTTGCTCTGTGCACCGCCTCCCCCCCCCCCCCCCCCCACACACACACACACATATACCCACGAGTCTGGCCTCATCGGTGCACAAGTGTGTTTCCTTGAAATTGCTTTCCCAACATAAGGGATTGGACCAAACAAACAACAATGAAGACAGGAAACCCTCTGACACGTACAGCTGGTGATAAAAAAAGGAAACACAGATGGAAATAGTGTCATAACACTGAACAACACCATGCTTACAGAGGATATCTCCAGTAGCTTCAACTGGAGGAGATCAGCAAGTTCCTGGTGGGCCAGCTTCTCACTCTCTTTCAGAGCAGACACAAACTGACGGAATGCCTGTTTGCCACAGCCCGGCAATGCTTCCAAGAAGACAGACGCCTGAGACACAAAATTCCAATAAAAAAAGAGCCAGTCACTGTAGTGGATGCACATCCCACTGTTTGTCATTGTATCCTTTTATGTAACATGTATGCATTCATCCGGCCGCGCTGTGCGACATGCCAGTTGTACCGTACGCACTTTAGCTGTACTTGCCTGCCTGGCTTTTCCTTTGACCTCTCTGTCGTTCTCACCACAATACACAACAACGACAACATTCATTAGTTACAAGGAAAGGAGCAAACGAAAAAGTCTGAAATATTATGACTATCACCACCAGGACTCAAACCAGGGACCCTCGCTTATGGCCAGCGATGCTCTACCACTAAGTTATGCTGTGGTCGTCATCCAAGCAGTGACCGTTCAACATTTTCTTCAGACTTTCAAAACTCTCGCTTCTTGTGCATCCACACAGGCTGGTGAGACGCAGCTCTCACTGTAACCCACACACTCAGTTCACGTACAAACTAACACGCGGGGAGCCCCAGCACAGTATTCATTTGTTTGAGGGACAGGTGCAAAAACCAATGTGGATTTCTAATGTAGTACATGACTTGATTGCAGATCAGAGTTATTCAGAGACACAGGCAGCTGACAGTTACGGACACGGTCTTCCCCCACGTAAGCCAGGAAAGTTTGAGTATACGTATAAAATACAATGCTTGCTTTAGTCTGCCATTGGGCATTCGCGAAGTGTCGTTATACCCGAAGTCCCATTATATGTATTACAGTTGGATGTGACTTTGCTCTGGGCATAGAAATTCTGTCGTTATTTGGGAATTGTCGTTATATCCGCAGTCG